GAACAACATGTGTACTACTGTTTCATGAGAAACTATTTGTTCTGTAAGCCTTCACCTGAAGTACAATAAAATAAAAAAATAAAAAAAAAATACTTTGCCCAATTACAGGTAAATGATTTATCCAAGGCCACATAGTCAAAAGAAAGGCTACAAGAATTGGTAAATTCTAATACCCTGGCCCATGAGTTTATGTTTTATAAATAATCAACAAACTATATTTTAATAATGTAGCAATTTCAGTATATTATTTCTAAATATATCTGATGTGTTTCACAATTTTAATTAATATTTTAAAATAATCAAACTGCACCCCAAATGTACCTCCAACTCACGGGCCTGGCATTCAAGACCTGCTACAATCTGGTCCAATCCCTATCGATTCATAGGATACCTGATGGTGTAATGCTTAAGCTCTCGGCTGCTAACTGAAAGGTTGGCAGTTTGAATTCACCAGTGGCACCACAAGAGACCTGGCAATCTGCTCTCATAAAAATTACAGCCTAGGAAACCCTACAGGGCAGTTCTAAGCTGTCCTATAGGGTCGCTTTGTGTTCAAATTGACTCAACGGCACACAAAAACAACAATCGCTTCATAACCAAGCCCTTCAGATCCTATGCTCCACTTACATCAAACAACTTGTAGTTCCCAGAATATGACAAACTGTTTCTTGCCTCTTTCTTTATGCTAATGCGGAGAAAATAGCTAAGTAGACATTTTTCTACTGGATCCTTTTTTACTTTTAATAAACCACCAAATTCCTAAATAACCTTCTATCTCAGGTCTACCTACTGCTCAGTCCAACTGAATGACCCACCATCCTTTGTTCTCTCACGCCCTGCCCACCAATGTCTTACAAAATAAAAAATTAAGAATGTTTCAGCTAGAACCATGAGGACCTTCCTACCCTCAATACACACATAACACAAGGTTAAAAAAAAACAACAACAGAAAGCCAGGGTGAAAATCGGACTAAATCTATTAAAATTTTATTTAACTTTGCAATCTGGCCTCAGTGCTTGAAATGCAAGCATCTTTCACTATAAATAAACTTTTATTTCATAATTGCCTTGTTGCCCAGTATGGTTCAAAAGAAGCCTAAATGTAAACACAGTTCACAGAAAATGAAATAAAAGCAGTTCTTTAAATATATGAAAAAACGCTCAACCTCATTCATGGTAAGAGAATGCAAATTAAAGCTGCAAAGATTTAAAAAAAGTTGGTAACACTTTGTGTTAATGAAGGCATGGGAAAGCAAACACTCTCATACACTGTGCAGTATAGAGAGTTAGTTTATGTGGTCCTTCTAGCCATGGTCTGATAACTCCCACAAAATGACTGGGTGGGAATACGCAAATAAGGTGCTTGTGGCCCACCAAGGAGAGTGGACAGCCTGGTAATAATGCAAACTAGTTATATGAAATTCTTGTGAGTGGGACTATGCAAATAAGGTACATGGAACCTTTGCAGGGGAGTGGGACTAAGCAAATAAGGTACATGGAACCCTTGTAGGGGATTGGTCAGTTTTGCCATCCTGGTAGGCTTAAAGAGAGCCAATCCCAGAGGCTGAAGGGGACCCTCACTACCATCAAGAAGAGCCAGGAGTGAAGCATGTCTTTTGGACCCAGGATCCCTGTGCTGAGAACCCCCTAGAACCAGCAAAGAGAGCTACAATACTGGAGATGGTGTGAGATGGCACAAGACGGACGAGAGGCTGTAGCAGGCATGGCAGAGTCTAGCAGCAGAGAAATGGCTGCAGCAGAACCAGACCAGTGCGTGGTGGGTTTCCTGGCTCATGGATCAAGGCGGCTACAGCGAGCATGCAGACCCAGTGAGAGAGCTGAGTGCCTCCAGGCAGGATGCTTGCTAGAGGAGTGGGGTGACTCCAGGCACTTACAGGTGGAGCTAAAGAGCTTTGTTGACACTTGCCTGAGCAGGGCAGAGGCCAGGCCCAAAAGGGGCCTGGCAGCAGAGGCCTGCCAAGAAAGCTGTCCTGACAGGCCAAGAGGAGCCTTGAGAGAAGCCTGTTCTGAGAAGACTGAGAAGAGCCTGTCCTCAGGGGGCCTAGAGAAACTTTTCCTCAGTGGGCTGCAAGAGGAGCCTGCCTTTGGGCAACCAAGAAGCTGTCCTGATCTATGAACTGTATCCTGAGTTGTTCCTGTTACCTCCAAGTTGATCATGATGCTGAACTCCCACCTGTTACTTCCCTAATAAACCTCACAATCGTGAGTATGGTCTGTGAATCCTGTGTGGCCACCACAACGAATATGAAGCCTAGCAGAGAAGTAGAAAGTGCTGTGGGAGGGATGGCTGGTGTCAGAACTGGTGAAAAGGTTGGATAATGGAGGTATGTCTGACCTCCTCCTCACAGTAATCAGCTTTGGGCTGATACTGATCTTGATTCTCTCCACCCCTGAAGTTAGAGGACCTCTGACGCAATGCCATTTTTACACACTGCTGGTTGTTAGAAATGTTTATCGACTAATACAACCTTTATGGAACGCAATTGGCAATAACAAAGTTGAAGAACTCAGTAATTCCATTTTTAGGAATTTATTCTACAAATATATATGTGACAAGACCTATGTAGACATTCATTCTTTATTCTATTGGGAAAAGACTGGAAGCAAAATAAATGTCCACCAATACGCAACTGAAAAATAAATTATGGTATATTCATACAGTGCAAAACTACGCTGGCTAGTGAGGAAGTTAGGAAGTTCTTTATGTACACCTGCGGAATGATTTCCATATGAATAAAGCAAAACAAAAAACAATATATAAAATATATTAACTTTTATATAAAAGTACAAGGAAAAAGAACATGTATTTTTAAATATATTGTTATATATACATACTGCCTTTTTGGAAGGATACATAGGAAATTGGTAACACTGGAACACTGATTCCATATGGAGAATGGAACTGGATACCTGGGGTACTAATAGCCATAAAATTATATATATTATACCCTCATGCACACACATATGCACACACATACACACTTCCATTTATCCTACACTTACAAAGAAAAAGAAAAAAAAAGGAGGAAATTTTCACTTAAACATTCTTACAAAAATTCAATTAAATACAGAAAAGATATGCACAATAGAATTGGATATTACAAAATAAATGCAACTTTTTTTATGTGTCAGAGGAAAATCTGCTGAACCTACTTCTATAAATCTTCCTATTTGATACTATAATAAACTTGTTTATGGCAATAAACTCCAAAGAACCAAATTAAAATTTTATTTACTTCATTCATATCTTATATATTTGACCCAATCACTACACGAAATGAAAGAACTTACTCATGTTGCTATCATAGGTTTTTTCAAACAACACTAGGAAAACTCCATTGATCAATAAACCAAATGCAGGTCCAAAAAAGAAGCTACTACAGTTTCCACCAACTCAGTAAGTAGTAGAGCAATAAATTCTTACTTTAGTATTTATGAATGGGAATTGTGGCTAAGAGCATAAGAAATTAAAATCTAGATAGGAAAAAAAGTTGTTAATTTTAAAAACGTCACAAATATGGCAAAGAGGACTTCCAACTTATTACATGTGAAACAAATTTTAATAAACTACAACATATTTTAAAAAAGCTAAGAAGGCTGACTAATCAAAAGAACCTTTCTGTGTTTCCTATGTAAATACAACTTCATATTGGATTTTAGCATCTTTGTTTTTCCTAATCATAAAAGCCTTGCCATTATCAATTTGTTCATTAAGCAAGAAGCCATACTACATATTATTAGTATTATGCATTTCAGCCTTTACCTCTCTATGAATACTTCTTGCTTTCATTTATGAAAATGACAATGATTTAAAAAACAAATTTGTAAGTCCCCATACTTCTTAAAAATTACAGCATGAACATCTTTCCCAAAAGGATTATTTTGGTTCACAGCACAGGCACATTTACATGAAAAGTGAGAATGAATAAGGTGAGCCTCTGATATCTCAAATTCTGTGCTATAACATCTGGAGTTACATCAGGCTCTAGTTTACTTTAGAGATTATAACAGCAAAAAGGTTTACAAGAAATAAGTACAGCAAGGACACTCACTCCCATTATGGAATAAATCATCTTAAACTTCAAGTTAACTCACAAAACAATCTGCAGGTATTCTCTACCTAGAAAAAGCTTAATAAGTAAAATACCTTAACCATACAACATGTCTAATAATAAGACAGCTCCTCTACATCTGTGATATTCTGTGTACCTTCAAAATATATTCATTAATATATAAAGGTTAGATGAATCAACAGCAACCAGTATTGACTGATAGCAGAAGTATATCATTCACTGTCATATAAAACCAACATTAGGCAAAAAACCATAGGTGCGTATTACTCAAGACCTTAAAAGAACTTTTGATATTATCTGGACCAGTGGATCTCAAATTTAGCTGCACATTAAAATCACCTCTGAGAATTTCCAAAATATACACGTTAACTGAATCAGAATGGAGGAAAGACGGGTATATCAGTAGTTTTTAAAAACTTCTCAGTGGTTCTAATATACAGTCGGAGATGAGAATTACCCCATCTCTCAGATTACAGATGATTCTGAAGGCCACTCTACTAGCCACTGATATCAAGCCTTCCTTCCAGATCTGTCCATATACGTAGTGGAAGAGAAAAACGAGTTCCATGTATTTCAATGGACTTTTCAGTAAATGCATTTTGAAGCATTTACACATGCTAGAATCCCAAACTTCAAGCATGCTGCAGTTCATAAACTCTACCGTTAATGCCCAGCTAGAGACTTCCCAAAAGTGTTGACAGACTGTACTACCACAAGTGGAGGGAGCAGTTCAACCAATAATAGATGTCTGATTATAGAAGTAGTGTAGTGGTGAAAAGCACACGTTAGAGCCAGTCAAACCTGGCTCTACCACGCACTTACTTAACCTAAACCTCGGTTTCCTCACGTGTAAAATGGGGATTAAAATACACTTCTTAATAAATACTAATAGCTAAAACACCTAACACAATGCCTGGCAATAATAATGGCTCTTTTAATGACAAAATAAGCTAATTAATGCCTGTTCAGCTGAATTAAAAGCAGGGGACCTGACAAATTACCGGCCCAGGTCACTTCCACAGACCCACAAGCTCCTTTTTACAAATGTTCCCGTTGGCGATGCCAAACAGAGAGCTGGCATGAACAGAACAGGCAACTTCAGGCCAGCGACGATACAGGTTGTACAGGGGAGGTCAGTGCTTGTAAAGCAAAGCAGGGCCCAGAGGCCTAGCATCCCGCCCATGCAAGCCTGGGCCGCGGCGAAGCCGTCAGGTCTCCGGGATGAGGCCGATGGTGAACAAAGCACGCAAGGTTCCTCACCTTCACCACCGCCGTCCCCCGGCTGCCCTGCCGGCTACCGTCTAGCCCCGCTCCAGGCTTGTTTACAACCAGGGTAGCCATCCTGGCAGGAGCAGCGCAGCTCAGCAGATGAGGCCGTTAAAGCCTTCAGCTGAGAGGCGGGGTAGAGCCCACTACCCAGACGCCTCGGCGCACGCCGCTGGCGTACAGGCACAGTACGACGACACAGCGCGCCACCTGACTGGCCTGTGCGCGCCTCCTCCGTCCGAGTCTGTGGCTAAGTTTGGCTGCACTACCTCGCGCATGGGCACTTGTTATATTTTTTTATTATTAAGTAGTATGCACCTGGTAGAAGAAGGTCAAGAAAAAAAGGCGGGATAAAATAGAAGTTAAGAAGTAACGTTTTGGGGAGAAATTCCCGCTCTTATAATGCCCTTTTCTCTCAAATTGCAAGCCAGCCGCCAGGAACTACATCTCCCTGCATGCAATGCGGTTTTGTATAAACTACAAATCCCAGTATGCCATTCGTCTTTTTTTTTTTTTTTTTTTAAACTCCCGCAAATATAGGCATTTGGGAAACCTCGTACGTATTGAAGTCGTGATGTGTGATTGTGGCTAGAAAATTCAGAAGCATTTTGTGTGTAGGTCTCTAAGAAACAAGGTATGGCTTTGGTGAAAAGGAGCTGTTGGGTCCATAAAGGGCGTAGAAGGAACAGAATTTAAGGCACTACCAGTAGAAAGACGCTGTTGCAAGTGTGTTTGACGCCCGGTCTTACCAAACGTGCGCTTTCCTGTTACCTTCCGGGCGAGGCTGAACCTCTTCAGTCCCCGTAGGCGGAGCACCGAAGTGCCGTTCAAGATGGAAGTGAATCCCCCCAAACAGGAGCACCTGCTGGCGCTGAAAGGTAAATTATTGTAAATCTGCCTCCCCTTTTTCTGTTTTCTTACCTTTTCTCACATGTTTTGAAGCGTTTACCACACAGACCCTAGCCTCTGGGGTATACACCTTGTCCTTCTTAAAACACTGTCAGAGCTCGCTCTCCTGCTGTATCCCTTGGCGCTCAGCGAGCGAAAGCGATTTGGCCTCTTCGCTTTTTAGAACTGAGAGCCACCCTCTGCATATGTACGTGGTACATTACTCTTTCTGATCTGTGCTGCTGTAGTCACCAGACAGATTTTAGCCGCAGAAGCTGATGTCCCGGGGATATCTCTGTTAATTAGGATGGTTTACAATAGTCATCGAAAGTCGTTTTTCCATCTTTCTTGTCTCTTTTATGTGGCACTGACGAAGTTATCAGTCTTCATTTTCATCTGTAAAATTAGCCCAGTATTGCATGACAAAAGTGCCAAGGATTTAGAAATACACAGTACTACAACATATAACTAAGGTTTGTTAAAACTTTACTGCAGTTTACTTCACAGTATTGTCTTTGTGGGAAATTTGTCCAAAATCTCATGTCAACTTTCATTTTCTGTGCACGATAAAACAATTTTGAATAAGTTTATTTTGGAAAAAGCAGCAGGGCCGAGTTTTTCTGGAATTCCTATTGTTTTCTAAAGACCTTTTATTTCAAGTGTGTAACGCTTTATTCTATTTTCTGCTACCACAAATGAACTTTTTATTCCTTGGATATTCTAATGTCTGGTTGCCAGTGTCTTCTTGGACTGAGCTGAGGAAATGCGCAATAGACAGTTCGATTTGGTTGAATTGCACTTACCTTCCTTATGGCATCCATTTTTAGGGACCCCATGCCCCTGTTATGATGTAGGCATCAAGCATTCCAGAACTCAGCAGTCCCATATGTAACATGACATAAATCATATATTGAATGCTAAGGTTAACTACTGTCTTGACTGTAGAACTAAGAAGCCCCACAATATTAAGTAATATAGTGAAGGAACCTGTAAGCCTGAACAAATGATGTGGACTGATACAGATTATTCCTGGAGAAAGGGAACTAATTGGCATGGGTTTTTTGTTTGTTTTCTTCTTGGTGTCACATCAAGTATGTGGAATAGGTGATACTTATCTCTCACTTTAAGTAACTTTTCCAAGATCACATAGCTACTAAGTGACTGAGGCAGTATATCAACACAAGGCCTGCTTCCATCTTTCCAGTATGCTGTGTTGCTTTCTAATGGAGGCAACAGCATTTTCAGAGATCATTACTGACTGTTTTGATGGGAATTTGAAACAGTTCCATTAGCTGCTGAGTGTGATTTTATACAGATTAAAAGCTACTAAACAGTTGAATTCAACTGATATAGAGACTAGTTGCTATTGGGAATTTCTAGTTTTCTGTTATTCTTTATCTTCCAAAACAGAAGATGCCTGGGAAAGAGTATTTTAGCAGTCTGGAAGGATGTGTGCTTTAAAATTCATCGGTAGTTTTTCCATTTTATTAAAGCTGTTTGGTATAATTCTTTCCTATTGTCCTTAGTTAATCAAGAATTTTCTTCAGTTTTAATTTTATTGCTGGATGGCAAATATATCAATTTAAATAGTCATTTAAGTTTACTTTCTTATATATTGTAATATGTAAAATATTGAGTCAATATCTTGTTATGCTTGAAAACAGTTTTTATGTAAAAGGAGCTCTGGTAACTTCACTTGTCCTTCGAGTACATCATTAAATAAGTTGAGACAATAAAGGAATCTTCCATGTTGTACCTTATAGTGTGAAAGTATAAAGATGGAGCAAGAATAAAATGAAAACATTATTCTTAAAAGAATACACTATCCTATATATAGATTCATTTAAAAATGGATGTTAAGGATCACAGTCGTTTATGAACTTGAGAATTGTCAAACCTTTTGGTCAGTGGACATTATTAATAGGTAAAAAGAATCATTATGAGATTAGTTACTTCTTCTGACTCTTCAGAATGTGACAGTGGTCAAATGAATACTGCGGCATCATGACAGGATTCCCCACTCACAGACATCCTAGCTTGTTAAATAATTCTCTGATAACTTTTGGGGAAAAGGGATTCAGCCTCTTATTTTTTTTGTACAGTAGTTAGGATATGAAAGAGCCTGCATTATGGGTCTGGTTAAGAAGCCTACGTAACTTGCAGAGTCTGGAAGATTTAATTCTTGAGCCAATGTACTATATGCTTGAACCTATTATCCATAACTTAATTTGAGGCAACTTGGGAACTTCTGTGAACCAGGAGAAGAAATAAGGGTCTGGACTTCTTATACAATTTCCTACTCCAAATTGGAATTCATGGAACTCATCAGAACCATGGTACTGAGGATCTCAATACTGCTTAAGTGCCCCCAGTTAAACGGAGGAGACTTTCTCACAAAACCAGTTCCTAGCCTGGTTAAAACACAAACTTAAACAATATTTATGCTTTTAGTGTTTAATGAGATAAAATCGTTAAGTATTCTGTCCATACATTTATTTGGTACAGTTCATTTAATTTTAAAGTGTAAAATGTTTAGTTTTATTCCAGATAGATTAAAAATCACAGTGATTTTCATTGTCCTCAATTCAGATGTCTCAAATTTTGAAATACCTATATTACTATATTTTTGTTAGTTATGCTCATGTGAGTCCTGCATTTGAAGAATCACTGATTGACTCTTTTGTCTCTGTTATAGTCTTTAGACTATTATTATTTATTATATTAATATTGATACTTCCAAATCCTTTTTATCTGTTGAGTTAAACATGTTGACTACTAGGATTTTTAAACTGGAAGCAATCCTACAAGGCGTCTAATTCAGATCCCTGATTTTGGTGAGAGAAAGAATTTTTTTTCTTTTTTAATTTATAGATTACATTCATATTTACCAGTAGTCACTTTGATGAAATATCATATTGGGGTTGATTTTTGTGTTTTTTTTTCCCTGTCTATTTGTGTGCAGGCTATCCCTTCCATATCTTATTCTTTGCAATACTTCCACTTTAGGTCCTGTTTCCCTCTGAGTTGGAAAGAGAGACAGTCTTATAATTATAAATTACATTCTAGCTCTGAGGAGCTCAGCTAAGAAATTTTCTCTTCATTAAGAGTAACTGGATTACTGCAGAATGACCACAGAAGTAATATTACATTATCGACCATATGAGAGTGATCCCACACAACTGCCAAAAATTGCAGAAAAAGCAATTCAAGACTTTCCTACTCGTCCGCTATCAAGATTTATTCCTTGGTTTCCACATGATGGGTCTAAACTTGCACTTAAACCTAAGAAATCATCACCTGTGATTTCTGAAGAGGCAGCTGAAGATGTGAAACGGCACTTGACCATTTTAGATGTTAAATCACAGAGTTATGATTGCACAGTAGATCTATTGGAGTTTCAACCTAATTTGAAAATGAAGAAGCATTTAATCCAGTCACACACACTTGGTGAACAGACTAATTCTGAAAATCTGGATAAGCAATCAGGAAAAGAAAAACGGCACTTAAAGAGGTCTTGGAGTGTTTCAGTTCCTAACAGTAATTGTCCTGAAAAGATTCTTCCTCTGTCTAAAAAATTGCAAGATATTTTGAAGTCACTAAATTTGCACTCATTTTATAGAGCAAGATGGACAATAGAACAGAATATTTGTGACACCCAAACTCTGGAAGACATTTGGGCAAAACTCAATCGCATTATCAGGCACAAAGAACTTCCATATTGTAATGCTACAGTTCAGAGACATTTAGGCCAAATATGGGTATTCTGTGATATTATGTACTGTGAATATGTGGGAAATCTTCTTAAAGAAAGATTATCTCTTACTGGAAAAATGAATTTATTTGTGCGTAAATGTGGTGTTATTTTTAGTATGTAGTGAATTTTACTGATTTTCCAAAAAGAAGTGTATTCTGAATGTACTGAATATAATTTAAATATTGAGGTGAATTAATTTTTTACAAGTTTTTAAATTTTTAATGGCTTTTCTTAATTTGACCCTTTGGCCTATTCTTAACACTGAGCCTTCTTTTAAACGAATTATGATAAATGATTGTTTAAACTGAACTTGAAGGTAAAATATTTTTATTCTTTTTGTTCTGTTACTTTTCCATTGATTTAATTAGGTATTCCTATGAATTAAGGTGAATAGTTTGGATTTTGGCAAATCCTCAAAATCTAATTTTACTGTATTTTTTCTTTACTCAAAGTGTAATGGTTCTTTTAAAGTAAAACTGAAAACAGTTCCTATAATTTAAATTCTATGGGAATGCTAATCAGGTGGCATTAATGTACTTCAAGGTAGGAGATCAGCCCAAATTCTTACTGATGTTTACAAAGGTATGTAATAGATAACACTTCATGTGTTGTTTTGAAACACGGTGCAAAAAGTATGATTTGCTCTAGACCATAATGTATCTTTAAAGCTATAATTGATCAACTTATTCTTTGTTTATTATAATGCAGGTAATTTGATCTTAATGACTGTTGATTATTATTTGGCTGGAGTCATTGTGGGATTTACCCTTGTTTCCTATGAGAAGCAAAATGTTACAGTTGGGTTTATGCACCAGTTTGTAAAAATGCTCAAAGTGATTATGGAATAAAATAATTGTTGTAAAAGCATGAAAGCATGTCTTTATTTAACAAATTTAAATGCCTACCATATGATAGGTACTAGAATATAATAGGGAAGGAGACAAACATGAACCTTGCCCTCATAAAGCTTACATGGCCTTAACTACAAATCAAGTAGTCAAACCAACTTCCTAAGAAAAACCAGTAACACTGTACACACTAGGAAGGCAGTTACCTGTTTGTCTTGTAGCGCAGTGACTGGCGTGGTAGGAGCTCGGTGTTGTCATTGTTAGGTGTGTTGAGTCAGTTCCAACTCATAGCGACCCTATGTGTAACAGAACAAAACACTGCCCAGTCGTGCGCCATCCTCACAGTTGTTGCTATGCTTGAGCTCATTGTTGTAAGCCACTGTGTCAATCCATCTCATTGAGGGTCTTCCACTTTTTTGCTGACCCTCTACTTTACCAGGCATGATGTCCTTCTCTAAGGACTGGTCCCTCCTGATAACATGTCCAAAGTATGAGAGATGAAATCTCAGTGTCCTCGCTTGTAAGGAGGATTCTGGCTGTTCTTTCAAGACAGATTTGTTTGTTCTTCTGGCAGTCTGTTGTATGTTCAATATTCTTTGCCAGCACCATTACTGAAATGCATCAGTTCTTCTTTGGTCTTGCTTATTCATTGTCCAACTGTCACATGCATTTGAGCCCATTGAAAATACTATCGCATGGGTCAGGGGCACCTTATTCCTCAAGGTGACATCTCTTTTTAACACTTTGAAGAGGTCTTTTGCAGCAGATTTGCCCAAAGCAATATGTCATTTGATTTCTTGACTGTTGCTTCCATGGGCGCTGATTATGAGTGCAAGTAAACTGAGACCCTTGACAACTTCAGTATTTCCTCCATTTATCATAATGTTGCTTATTGGTCTAGTTGTGAGGATTTTTGTTTTTGTTTTATGTTAAGGTGTAATCTGTACTGAAGGCTGTAGTCTTTGATCTTCATCAGTAAGTGCTTCAAGTCCTCTTCACTCTCAGCAAGCAATGTTGTGTCTTCTGCATATTGCAGGTTGTTAATGAGTCTTCCTCCAGTCCTGATGCCACATTCTTCATATAGTCTAGCTTCTCAGTATATTTGCTCAGCATGCAGATTGAATAAGTATGTTGAAAAGGTACAACCCTGATGCACGCCTTTTCTCATTTTAAACCATGCAGTATCCCATTTTTCTGTTCATACTTGGTCTACATATGGGTTCTGAATGAGAACAATTAAGTTTTTGGAATTGCTGTTCTTCACAATGTTATCCGTAATTTGTTAGGATCCACACAGTCAAATGCCTTTGCATAGTCAGTAAAACACAGGTAAACATCTTTTTGGTATTCTCTGCTTTCAGCCAAGATCCATCTGACGTCAGCAATGATAGCCCGTATTTCACGTCGTCTTCTGAATCTGGCTTGAATTTCTGCAGTTTCCTGTTGATGTACTGCTGCAACTATGTTTGAATATCTTCGGCAATATTAATATTGTTTGATAGTTTCCATATTCTGTTGGATCACTTTTCTTTGGAATAGGCACAAATACAGATCTCTTCCAGTCAGTAGGCCAGGTAGCTGTCTTCCAAATTTCTTGGCATAGATGAGCGAGCGCTTCCAGCATTGCATCTGTTTGTTGAAACATCTCAATAGGTATTCTGTCAATTCCTGGACCCTTGTTTTTCACCAATGCCTTCAGTGTAGCTTGGACTCCTTCCTTCAGCGCTATCAGTTCTTCATCATATGCTACCTCCTGAAATGGTTGAATGTCCGCCAATAATTTTTGGTATGGTTACTGTGTATTCCTTCCATCTTCTTTTGATGCTTCCTGCATCGTTCAGTATTTTGCCCATATGGTCTTTCAGTATTGCAACTTGAGGCTTGAATTTTTTCTTCAGTACTTGCAGCTTGAGAAATGCTGAGCGTGTTTTCCCTTTTGGTTTTCTAACTCCAGGTCTTTGCACATTTTGTTATAATACTTTGTCCTCTTGTGCTGCCATTTGAAATCTTCTGTTCACCTCTTTTATATGATCATTTCTTCCTTTCGCTTTAGCTACTCTACATTCAAGAGCAAGTTTCAGAGTGTCTCCTGACATCCATTTTTGTCTTTTCGTTCTTTTCCTGTCTTAATGACCTTTTGCTGTCTTCATGTATAATGTCCTTGATGTCATCCCACAACTTGTCTTCGGTATGAGTGTTCAGTGTGTCAAATCTATTCCTGAGATGGTCTTTAAATTCAGGTGGGATATACTCAAGGTTGTACTTTGGCTCTCATGGACTTATTTTAATTTTCTTCAGCTTCATCTTGAATTTGCATGTGAGCAATTGATGGCCTCTTCTGCATTCAGCTCCTGGCCTTGTTCTGATGGATGATATTGAGCTTCTCCACCATCTCTTTCCACAGAGATAATCGATTTGATTCCTGTGTATTCCATCCAGCAAGGTCCATGTGTATAGTCGTGTTTATGTTGTTGAAAAAAAGGTATTTGCAATGAAGAAGTTATTGGTCTTGCAAAATTCTATCACACGATCTCCAACGTTGTGTCTATCACCAAGGCCGTATTTTCCAACTACTGATCCTTCTCATTTCCAACTTTGACATCCCAATCACTAGTAATTATCAATGCGTCTTGATTGCATGTTTGATCAATTTCAGATTTCAGACATTAGTAAAAATATTCAATTACTTCATCTTTGGCCTTAGTTTATGCGTAAATTTGAATAATAGTCGTATTAACTGGGCTTCCTTGTAGGTGTATGGATATTAGCTTGTCACTGTCAGCATTGTACTTCAGGATAGCTCTTGAACTGTTCTTTTTGATGATGAATATGACACAATTCCTCTTCAGTTTGTCATTCCCAGCATAGTAGACCATATGATTGTCTGATTCAGAATGGCCAATACCAGTCCATTTCAGCTCACTAATGCCTAGGATATCGATCTTTATGTGTTCCATTTCGTTTTTGACAGCTTCCAATTTTCCTAGATTCAAACTTTGTACATTCCACATTCCGATTATTAATGGATGTTCGCAGCTGTTTCTTCTCATTTTGCATCATACCAACTCAGCAAATGAAGGTCCCAAAAGCTTTACTCCATCCATGTTATTAAGGTCAACTCTACTTTGAGAAGGCAGTACTTCCCCAGTCATATTTTGAGTGCTTTCCAACCTGAGGAGCTTATCTTCCAACACTACATCAGACAATATTCTGATGCTGTTCATAACGTTTTCACTGGCCGGCTTCATTAGAAATAGATCACCAGGTCCTTCTTTTTAGTTTGTCTTAGTCTGGAAGCTCTGCTGAAACCTGTCCACCATGAGTGACCCTGCTGATACTTGAAATACCAGTAGAACAGCTGCTAGCATCACAGCAACACGCAAGCCACCACAGTACAACAAATTGACAGATGAGTGGTGGAGGAGCTCAATAATACAGGGTAAATGTGTCCTTTGGAAGAGTTCTTATAGTGTGAACTGGCTGAGTTTCTTAAAATAGGAGGAGTCCACTCATTTGGAACTAAAGAGATTATCTTTTCCTGATGGTTTTCACTCTAGCCAAGTACAGTTCTGTTCTTAATTATTTCTAGTACTTTTTTGTACTGTCTCAAAAGACTCGTATTTAGAAAATCACCATGTGTATGAATGCTTCCAATAGTTTTTGAATGAAAAAACCAAATAGGGTCGGTTTCTAAGGCATCTTTTTCAGTAATCCTTCCTCTTCTAATTCAAAAATCATCTTCCACCAAGACTGCTGGAGAAACTTCAGTATTGCCAGCAGGCTTGCAAATGAAAGAATCATTTGATACTATTAGGCAGTCATAAATGGTGGGTTTGATTTTTATTGTTTAGATCTGATTTACCGTAAGACTGCTAATCAAGGGTTAAAACGTAGGGAATCCTAGAACAGGGTCACTTGCACAAAATGCAGTGTTTTTTTCTTATGATAATTTTATTATGATGGTACATAGAGAAGAAAACTTAAGGTACCAAAATTCACACATTAAAAAAAGATTTTTTATCTTCAGATACAGATTCTTTATCTTCAGATTCTTTGTCTTGGCAGATTTAAATTTTTCTGTTTTACCTATATAAATTGCTTTCTGTCTTTCTGAGAAACAATGAAAAGGTAATTCAGAACTGGGAAGTGGAAGGTTGAGTTTTACTGTAAGTAGTGCCATGATTTTAAAAGAAGATAAATACATTTTTCATCTACTTGGACAGTACTTAAATAATTGCAGCCTAAGAAGTAATTTAATCCCATTATTACTTCTTTGAAGCCTTGGAATATTTAGAACCTAAGGTTGGCAGAGTGGTTAAGCACTCGGCTGCTAAACAAAAAAGGTTTGCAATTTGACCCCACCAGCCATTACTGTGGCAGCCTGCTTCCATAATGATTACAGCCTTGGAAACCCTATGGGGCAGTTCTGCTCTGTCCTAGAGGTCACTGTGAGTCAGAATCAACTTGATGGCAATGAGTAAGAGGGCTCAACAGTGTTTCTGGATTCCACTGTTAAGTCACAGACAAGAAAGTAAACTGGGGAAACAGTGAAGCGTATAGGATGGTGCGCCTGTAAGGGCATATGGTAAAATGCCACCAGCATCTTCTGTCTAAGAAAGTGGCAGCAGTAAAAATATTATTTCTCCCCATTAGCTGTCTGTTGTCAAATAAGTGTTAAATCTGATTCAAATAAAAATACAATGTGGAGGGCATCCAAGTTATGAGTTTTTTACTTTTGTCCCGATCCTAGACAAATTTAACCTCATTTGCAACTTACCAAATAAAGATAATTTTTTTTTAAATTTCCAAGATAATTTCCTGCATAATGATTCACTTTGCCTTAGTCTGCTCAGAATGCCAAAAATTAAGGTTCACAAACTTGAATGCCTTCAGGAACTACAAAGGTAAGAATGTAGAATGTAGTTGAGAACTTGGAACCTGAAGAAAACGCCACTTTTTTCTTTTTTAACCTTGGCCAGACAAAATGTATATGCAAGTATAATTTGGGGCAGCTCACTAGTTGGTAACCTCTGGTCTCTCATTTTTACTGAAGATATATGAAAGTGTTTTATAAAATTTTGGATGAAACCTGCATTTCATAAGTAAATGAAATGTGGTGTGTGTTTTGTGATTTCCACGGTAGTGTATCTGTATACATGGCGTTAACTATGCCTTGTGTATAGCAAATATTTGATTAAAAATAACAATCTTTTATTCTTAATTCATGAGATAGAAATGGATAATTTTTTTTAACCAAGAACCTGCTTTAACATTCAAGGCTAGATACAAGATTATTATTTATTAACAGTGCTTTATGCCAGTTTGTCTTTTTTTAAATCTTGCTGTTATAGATATTTGTCTTCCAGCTAATATTGTGTGTAATTTCGATGTCCACTAATTGTTTATAAGATAAGAAATACTGAGTTTTAAATCTGTGTTTGATATCGGCATAGTATCGATTGTCTTCTAGACAGCTGCAGTGAAACACAAGTTAATTTTAAAGTTCAAGGAACGAGATGGTTGTGTATTACTTGGTTTTCTTATTTGTAGTTAAGAATCTTCAGTATGATGAATTGTGCTTCATGAGACTATAATATAATATTGTCCACCATAGGATCAGCAAAAATTAAGCTGTATGGGACTTTTGTGTGTTGGAAATTTGAGCCTATAAGCAAATAAGTTGGCTGCATGTTTGGGTGTACTTAGAGTCATTTTAAAAAAGTGTTTGAGGATTCCCTTAAGAATGTATTTCCTCTTGGTTTATTAAGATTTGGTTTCTTCTGTAGTGAGAAAAAAATGGGGAAGGAACAGAGAACAATTCATGTTAAAAATGAGCTTAGAGTCAGATATTTAGATTGTGGTAGAAACTCTCTGGTATGTCACTTTCAGGACACTTGTAGGGTCATTATGAGTTTGAATCAACTCAATGGCACACAACAACAACATGAGAGAAATAGGGTGACTGGTTATTCCTTTTTTGGAAAAGGTGGCATTTAAGCTGAGACCAACATGAGAAAGGCACTAAATTTGACATGAATACTATTGCTAATTAGGGGTGGTTGTTATTAGGCGTCCTCGAGTCGATTCTGACTCATAGTGACCCAATGTGACAGAATAGAATTGCCCCATAGGTTTCCTAGGCATAATCTGTACAGGAGCAGATCGCCATGTCTTTTCTCCTATGGAGTGGCTAGGTGGATTTGAACCTCTAGCCTTTCAGTTAGCAGCCAAACACTTAGCCATTGCACCACCAAAAAAAAAACCGAACTCACTGCCGTCGAGTCAGTTCTGACTCAGCAACCCCATAGGGTTTCCAAGGCTGTAAATCTCTATGGAAGCAAACTGCCACATCTTTCTCCCGTGGAGCCACTGGTGGTTTCGAACCACTGACCTTTTGGTTAACAATCACTGTAACCACAGTGACACGAGGGCTTCTCAGTTAGTGGTTAAAACCAAACCAAACCAAACCCGTTGCCGTCGCGTCGATTCCGACTCAGCGACCCTATAGGACAGGGTAGAACTGCCCCATAGGGTTTCCAAGGAGCAGCTGGTGGATTCGAACTGCTGGCTGTTTTTTGGTTAGCAACCGTAGCTCTTAACCACTGCACCACCAGGGCCCCCAGTTAGTGGTTAGGTGGTACGTTTTTACATATGCTAGGAAACCCTGCTTATATTGTGAATTAACCATTTAGGTCTATTGGTCATACAGGTGTTTGTTTTTTACTTCATTGAGCACTTTTAATAGATTATAAATAATGGCTTTCTATAGTTCATTTCTGAAAAATTATACAAGTATGCATGATTTTTAATTTTGTATCTTTTTGTCTTTTGATGTGGCCAAGTGTCTTTAGGAGTAATTAAAAAAGTTTTTTTTAGACTATCCTCCCCTGACTAGAAGTTTAATAAATAACTCAATTTTTCTAGTTTTCTGCTGCTTAATTTTTTCCTGTTTAGCTCTTTGATATATATGAAATTTATTTGCTATTTTAAATGAACATATAAATTAAATTTTACTTTTCCCAGATAGTTAACTAGTTGTCCTTGTTGCTGTGTGCTATCGAGTCAATTCCAACTCATAGCTACCTTATAGGACAGAGTAGAACTGCCCCATAGAGTTTCCTAGGCTGTAATCTTTATGGGAGCAGATCGCCTGGTCTTTACTCCCAAGTTGTGGCTAGTGGGTTCGAACTACTGGGCTGGGTTTATGTAATTCTAACCAAAACTAAGATTTATTTTTGGACCATGACAGAATGTTTCTAAAGTTCATGTAGAAAACCAAATAAATGAAAATGAGCTAAGGAAATTAATGGGGAAAAAATGAAGAACTGGACTGACCTTATACCAACCATATTTAGTGCCGTAATTAACTAATTGACTTATTAATGCAAAACTATACAGAGAGTGAAAAAACAAAAACCTCAGACTATGAGGATGCAGCAAATAACAAAATCAATAAAAAGGCAAAGGATTATTCATTATAAGGTACTAGGATAACTAGAAGGAGCCCTGATGGCACAGTGGTTAAGCACTCGGCTGCTAACCAAAAGGTTGGCAGTTCATATCCACGAGCTGCTCCTTGCAAACCCTTTGGAGCAATTCTCCTCTGTCCTATAGGCTCACTATGAGTTGGAATAGATTTGACAGCAACAGATTTGGTTTCTGGGGTTTTTTTGTTTGTTTTTGTTTTTTTAATACATTAGCTGATATGTTCATAATTTCTACACAGATTTCCCTAATATTACTTAAAGGAACTCTTACTGAACTCTCAGCGGCCAGTGACTATAAGTGAGAGATTAAAAATCACCAAAATCCTTGTGACATAAAATTACTATTTCATATTCCAAATGATGCTTCTAAATTTGTTTTCCTTCCAGGCTAATATTTGCTTATATTTTTTAAAATATTTTTTACAGTAAAGTCACTTGGGATATTTTTTTAAAGCCTTATGATCTTAATATACCTTAAGTTTTAAAATTCCTTTTATTTTCTAGTTTTTTTTAAAATAATGAGAATGTATTACATTTGCACTAATTTTTGTAATTGGTTAGATTGTAAATGAAAGCAAGGTTTTTCTCTTATTCATATATAAAGCAAATATTTTTGTTACACATAGTATTTTTAGTAAATCATTGAAGTGTAATAATGTTAGGGAGTATTTAGTATTTAGTTTGGTAAGTATTAAGGTGATTTTTATATTAATTTAAAATTCATGAGTATTGTGCATACAACTTGGGAATATTAACCAAAATCAATATTAATGTTGAGTTTTTGTTTGTTTGCTTTCTTATTTCACAGTGATGCGGTTGACTAAGCCTACTTTATTTACCAATATTCCAGTAACGTGTGAAGAGAAGGACTTACCTGGTATGGCACACGCTTAACCCTATTTGCACCTAGGGAAAAACTGAAACCTTGGAATAGGCCTAGCCTTGCTAACCTTACACTGGTTTATATGTTACCTATTTTAGTACCATGTTTATAGTGGTCAGGTGAGTAACAGTCCTCCACTCACAATCTGTAAGTCAAGATACTGTTGATATCCCATGGCCACAAGAGACTTTTAGTTTAAATAAAGGTACATTCATATTCCTAATACTGTTAAAATTGCATTTATCCTCAAATATCCTATGTATGAGCATTCCCTTTACTTAGAATTACTGAGATTTTCTGATATATTTTTGTATCTCATTACCAACGTTTTCCTTTGTTTCTGAAGTATTGATTCTCTGTGAGACTAGAATTTTTTGGCATGCATTTTATTAGAAATTAGATTTTTTTTAATATAATTTTTGTCAAGAGATTAGTTTCTTAAAGTATCTCTCCTAGCTATTTCTATATGTAAATAAAACTTATTCGCAAGGTAGATGTTAGAATTTTATATTTTTCTGTTGCTACAGGAGATCTCTTTAATCAGCTCATGAAGGATGATCCTTCAACTGTAAATGGTGCAGAAATTTTAATGTTGGGAGAAATGTTGACTTTACCACAGAATTTTGGGTAAGAATGATATGTTCACATAAAAAGGAAACAGTACCTTAAAATCCTTACAAATCGTGTTTCAAGAAACTATGGGATGGGAAAATGCTCATGATACATTTAAGTGGTAAAAAAATTTAACAAAAATTATTCTGTGTGATTTTGGTTTTCTTTAAAATGTATGTATATACCAAAATGTCAATGGAGTATCCCAAATGATAGAATTTTAATGTTCTTCTTTCAATCTTTGTACATTTTTAATGACCATATGTACTTTATGGCCATGTAGTCCTTTTATTTTAACTGATTTAATCTAAATGTGTTTTTCAGAAGTTGTTGTTGCATTCAACCTCACATTCCTCTCCCAAAATAAGTTATCAGATTTGTTAGCTAATTAGGAGTTCTTACTCTTAGCTGTCTTATTCTAGATTGTGGATGAGGTAGAAGCACCTGGTTTCACTCTGTTTACCACTCAGAGAATTTGAGACAAAAGGGAATTTTCTCAAGGATATTTTTTAGGCTTATAGAATGTGGTCATTGATGAGTGTTTTGAAGACTTGGAAATCTATTCATGTAAAAAATATAAAACTATATAAAGTAAAGCCACTGGTCATTATTTTTATCAGGATATCTTAGAAAAATAAAATGATAAATGTATTACTGTTACTCTAAAGATCAGTAACTTGGGTCTCTTCTAGATTTAAGGAATAAGTTGTTTCAGAAATGAAAAATTGCTTTTTCCTGGCCTCTTCAGATACAAATCTTAAAACTCTTGACATGAATCTGATTTCAGTAATTATTGTATTTAGGGAAACTGGCAGTTTATGCACCAGTTGAGGGCCAAGGTATTTTATGTTTTACAGATTGTCAGTATTTTCAGTTGCACTAGGTAATGAATGAGTGGCCTAATGTAAACAAAGGAATGTTGAAGCAGTATTTCACCTGCTGTATATCCTTTAATAAATTTTTCTCCATGTGAAGTTCTCATTGTTACTCAAATAGTATATTTGTGATAAAAGTTGAATGGATTTTTACCTAAAAATTTATTTTATTTACAGGAATATATTTTTGGGCGAGACCTTTTCCAGTTATATCAGTGTTCATAATGATAGCAGTCAAGTTGTAAAAGATATATTGGTAAAAGTAAGTGACATTGTTGTTTGAGATATATTTTTAAAAAACAAAGCAGAACATATAATTCCTATTATTATGTATTTGAAAATTTATTAAAATGCATGTTTAGTACTGGAATTCATAATTGTCATTAACAACAAGCATTAATTGAACACCCAAAGGTATGAGACATTATACCGGGTACATAAACATTTTCCTTGTGCTCAAAGTTTGTCATAGTTGGAGTAAAAAATTTACTAGTCAAGGTAAGTAACAATTTTAACTTTTTGTTAATATATGTGATTAACATAAATTTGCAAGAGGAGGAAAGATGACTGGGGATCAATCAGGAAGGCTTATTGGAGGAAAGGAAATACCAAAGGATCTTGAAAGAAAGGTGGGATTTAGAGAAAAAGGCAAGAGGGACATGGTAATCCAGGGCAGAGACCTAAGGATACATAACATGTTAGTAGTGAATAGAATTTATCTGATAGTAGAAGGTCAGGTTGTAGAGATGTGTAGTAGCCAAATTGTGAAGTATCTTGAATGCCAGGCTAAGGTTTCAGCTTTTAAAATAAAAAAGCAGTGGACAGTCATTGGAGGCTTTTGAACAGAGGTATTCACACATTGTGTTAGGGAGACTGATAAGAGACCATTATACGGGATGATTTATAAGAAAGAAGGACCAGTTTGAAGACTCTTGCAGCAGTTTAAAAATCAGGAAGATAAAATATGCTAACTCAATTAACAACCAGAAATGTATTCACAAAAAGAATGGGAATAAAGAAAACAAATTCAGTGTATGTAAGGAGAAGTTGTCAAAGCTGTCTTTGAGTGATGAATTTAGGTGACCGGAATTTTAACAAAAAAGCAAGTCCAATTAGAATGAGTTTGAAGGAGATGATCACAGAGTTTTAGAATTGAAAAGGACCTTAAACCAAAACCCATTGCAGTCAAGTCATTTCCATCTCATAGCGACCCTATAGGACAGAGTAGAATTGTCCCATAGGGGTTCCAAGGCTATAATCTTTACAGAAGCAGACAGCCACATCTTTCTCCCGTGGAACAGCTGATGGGTTTGAGCTGTCAACCTTTTGGTTAGCAGCTGAGCGCTTTATGCACTGTACCACCAGGGCTCTTCAAAAAGGACCTTAGAGAGCAAATATTCCAAATTTTATATATGGCCCAACTTCAGGAACTAGATGCAGATTTTTGCATTTGTATACTTATGTTTGTTGTACTACAGATGTTTTACTTTTATTAGATCCTAGAAAACAAACATCCACAAGACTGTGGCCCCCAGACGCTCTGCTAACTCAGTACTGAAACCACTCTTGAAGCCCACTTTTTAAACAGAGATTATCAGGCATATAAAACAAACAATAATACAGGAACGTGCTTCTTAGTTCAGTCAAATATATGAGACCAAATGCACAACTCCTGCCCAAAAGCAAAACGAGAAGGCAGAAAGGGACAAGAAAACTGGACAGATGGACATGGGGAACCCAGGGTGGAAAGGGGAGAGTGCTGTCACATTGTGGGGATTGCAATCAATGTCACAAAACAATATGTGTATAAATTTTTGAATGAGAAACTAACTTGAGCTGTAAACTTTCATCTAAATCACAACTGAAAAAAAAAAAAAACAGTTGCTCTCAACTCATTTCCAACTCATGGCAACGCTGTGTGTGTCAGAGTAGAACTGTACTCCATAGGGTTTTTAATGGCTGATGTTTCAGAAGTAGATCACCAGGCCTTTCTTCTGAGGCATCTCTGGGTGGACTGTAACCTCCAGCCATTCAGTTAGCATCTGAGTATGTTAACTATTTGCACCACCTAAAGACCACCTTTCTTTTGAATTAGACCATCCTAAATTTCCACCTCTTGCTTCTTTTCCCCTTCACTGCACAATTTCCAAGGGGTGCTTCTCCTTTTTGGCTCCCTTTTCTTATCCTGAAAGGCTATCTTTCCAAGATTGCCTTCTGATGTCTCACGCAGTATTCCCCGTAGTCTGTGCTCCCATCTTCCAGATACGCTTGCTCAGTGTTTTAACACTTAGGATAGAATTTGTCTTCTAGCAGTGGTGTAGATCATTCTTAGGCCTGGCACTACTACCTCTTCTCTCTTCTCAGTTTTTTTCCTGAACTGCTCGTATTCTTTGCAAGAGCATGAGAAATAGCTTGCAGAAATTGGTATTTGTCTACTTACAGGTAATTTAAAGTTTGGACATTCACTGCCGTCCAGTTATGCTAAGCATGAGGTTTTGTATAGTTTTGTTCTTGTTTTGGAGAATGTCTTGGGGCATTCACTATACACGGCTGCCATTACTTCAGCTACCCAGAATTCTACCCTCAAAACTTTAATTTTTTTTTTTTAATTTTTTATTGTACTTCAGGTGAAGGTTTACAGAACAAATAGATTCTCATTAAACAGTCAGTACACATATCGTTTTATGATATTGGTTAACAACCACACGATATGTCAACCCTCTCCCTTATCGACCTTTTTTTGTTTTTTGTGAAAATATACATAGCCAAAGATACAGCATTTCAGAAATTTCTACATGCACAGTTGAGTGACGTCGATTACATTCTTCCAGTTGTTCTGCTATTCTCACTTTAGATGAAGGTTTACAGAACAAAATAGTTTCTCATTAAACAGTACACATGTTGCGCTATGACAGTGGTTAACAACCCCACTACATGTCAACACTGTCCTTACTCAGCCTTGGGTTCCCTATCACCAGCTTTCCTGTCCCCTTCTGCCTTCTAGTCCTTGTTTCTGGACTGCTGTGCCTCATTAGTTCCGTTTTGTTATATGGGGTTGTCCAGTCTCCAGCTGAACAGTAAACCTCAGAAGTGACTTCACCGCTGAGCTAAAAGGGTATCTGAGGGCCATACTCTCGGGATTTCTCTAGTCTCTTTCAGGCCAGTAAATCTGGTCTTTTTTGTGTGTGTTAGAATTTTGTTCTACATCCTTCTCCAGCTCTGTGCAGAACCCTCTATTGTGATCCCGATCAGAATCAGAACTTTAATTTTTTTAGCTCTTTGAATTTTGGAATCGTGGAGAAGAGATTGTGCATCCATACTTTTTTTATTCCTTTACTTTCATCTTAGTGGTGTTTAGAATACTAATGCTCATGTTTAATCTGCAGTGTTTAACTGGAAACCACTAATGTTTTGTTGTTGTTATTTTAATTTTTAAAAAATCTCAGCCTTAAGTCTGAAAACTTTAGTGTACTACAAAAAAAAAAAGTGTTCTATTAAAAAAAGAAAAGTATATAATTAGTGTGCTATAGGTAATAAATAGTAAATAACTATTAAGGTCTATACCAGTGGTTCTTAAACTGTAGAAGGGATCAAAATCATCTGGAAGATTTGTTAAAACACTGATAACTAGCCCCCCACTCCCCACCCCACAGAGTTTGTGATTCAGTTCATCCGGAAGAATGCCAGTGAATGTGCATTTCTAACAAGTTTCCATCTGATGATGATTCTGTTGGTCCGGGGGCAATACTTTGAAAACCACTGGTCTATACTACTCTTTCACTCATTAATTCAACAAATATATATTCCAGGTGTAATTGTAGCTACTAGAGTTATAGCAGGAAACAAAACTTATAAACGCTCTGCTTTCCTGAAGCTTATTCTAGAGATTTTTAAAATATTTTTTTCTTTATTCCTGGATATGAACCCCTTAGTTATACCAGACTCTTTCTTAATGGCCTTAATGAAGACACCTTGAAATTTCACTCTTTTGGTCTTTTGCTAGCTCTCTTCAATTTACTCAGAATAATTCCTCCCCTTCCACCTTTGCTCTCTGCCTTCTCAAATCCTGCTCATCTAAAAACCAATTTGCAGCATGACTCCTACCCTGCAATTTAAATTTCATTCTCCTACCCCAAGTCAAGGGGGCAGTGGTAGTTTAGAGGTAGAATTTGTGCCATAAATAAATAGGGTCGCCATGAGTCAGAATCTACTCGATGGTAATGAGTCTGGTTTTTATGAGTTTACTGATGTATCTCCTGCTCCTGCAACAGGCCCTAGCATATAGTAGGTTATTAGGAAATAAATGTTCAACACAGCATTATTCATGTAGTGAAAAAGGAAGAAAAAATGTTCAGCCAAATATAATATACACCGTAGTAATGATTGTTTTTAAAAAATGGCACATAAAGTATATTGAAACAGAAAGCCAGTGGGTTTGAGTATTTCTTTTCTTCTTTTTCTCTTCTCTAATTTCTAAAATGTTTGTTAAGGATTTTTGAATCACAGCTTCATTACTTACAAGTTGTAGAACCTTGGAGAAATTGTTATTGGTTTAGTCTGTGCCTAGTTGTGCCTTGGTTTCACTATCTGTAAAATTGTAGTAAAACAGGAATCATACTAATACCTACTTCAAGATTGTGGGGATTAAATGAGTAATGTGCTTAAAATAAGCCTTGCACATAGTCACAACGGAAAAAAACCCTGTTGCCGTCGAGTTGATTCCGGCTCATAGTGACCCTATAGGACAGAGTAGAACTGTCCCATAGGGTTTTCGAGGAGTAAGTAGCGGATTCGAACTGCTGACATTTTGGATAGCATGCAAATGCTTAACCACTGCCCTGCCAGGGCTCTAAAAACCAAACCTGTCTCCATTGAGTCAATTCCAACTCATAGCTTGTGATGAATGTAGCAAAGGAAGTAAAAGTTGAATGTGATAGAGTAACTGAAATTAAGGGAAGCTGCTATTTAAGATAATTGGAGAGAATGATGAATTCAAAGGGAAATAAAAATGGGCATATAATAGAGAGTAACTGGGTGGGGTGCTACTTTAAAGAAGGTAGTTCTTAGCTGGTGACTTTAAAACCCTTCTTCAGTTCTACAGATCAGTTAGTCTCTTACATCTAACATTGTTTTAAATGGTTATTTATCTTTTGATATTGTATACTAACACGTACATGCACATATATTTGTTTCTGTAGTGTCCATCTGTACCTATACTTTTAAAAACCTACATGTTCATACTGACGCCTCCAATTCCAACCTAACACCAAAGGCTTCATTCCAGCCTTCCCCTTTTCCTTTTTATACCTTTTTTTCACCCAAGGTGAGAAACTTATCTCTTGTTATTTATCTTGTGTTTAGTCCAAGTATACACATGTCAAAGAGAAAAATTAACAACAGACATCTTATGTTGATTTTAAGGTTTTCTTACCTGCAAAACCAGATATTCACTGTAAGGAAATTCCTGACCAAAATTAATCCTGCCAAAGACAGCTTTTCTTTCACCAAAAATTACTATTCTTTCTTTCTCATTTGAAGCCAGGTTTACTAAATTTGAATTTCAAAAGTTGTGGCTGCAGGTGGCTGAAAGGCCAGAGACTGACTTGGGACCTGATATTAGTTGATCTCATTAAAAGGGGAAGGGCAGGATTCAGTCAGTCTTGTTAAGATTAGCCAATGGTTGATCTTCTATTCTTCCTCCTCTTTATAAGCTTCATTGTTACTAGCAAACTTCAAGCCATTTGCTTTTTCTGAAATCTAAATCACCTCCCTGTATGCAGTTAGAATAAGTGCTCAAAATAAAACTTACATTTCAATTTCTTTGGACTTTGATTATTTTAAACACACATAATGTAACTTCAGAGTTGCTAGCCCATATCCCTGTGAAAAACAAACAAGACTAGTTAGAGTACAACATTTGTGTACCATTCTTTTCAATTTTTAGCCTTACACTGCAATCAAGGTTTTGTTTTCCAAATTTACTTAGGTTAGTTCTTTTTCCCCCTTCATTAGCCACAGTGTGGTTATGTTCTTTATTTGAATACAGTTAGGTTCATTTGCTACTGTTTGTATTCCATTTTGGGTTCTCCCCATTTCCTGGTTGATTTTATTTATTTTGCGGGTGTACGTATGAACCATTGCCATGTTTCTACATGTTAGAGCTAATACAGAAGGTTTATGCAGAGACACTTGCTCCGCCTTCATCCATACTTCCTCATTCCTTTTCCCCTATGGTTTCTACCCATACCCACCCACATCCTGTACATTAAACAATCTCATTTAGGTTTTTCTTACCTCTTTCAAGGCTGATCTTCAGACAAGTTCTCAGCGTTTAAATCTTTCAGCCTCCAGTGGTGCAGTGGCTGAACTAAAACCTGATTGCTGTATTGATGACGTCATACACCATGAAGTAAAGGAAATTGGAACACACATGTAAGAGTTAATTTTGCTAATTCTCAAAGGCTTTTACTTAACATATGCCTTTATTTTAAATTTTTGTTTTCTTTATCATTAAGTCTAAGCACCTACTTCCAGAGGAACTTTATGGCTTCATGTTTACACCCTTACCAGAAACAAACTTTAAATAAAATGTTTTTGTTTTTTAGGAAAAAAATTTAATTTATCCCAGTTTATCTCTAGATTCATTTTTGCACCTACAGACAATTTTATAGAAAAATGAAAAGCCGTACAAACATTTAAAACCCAGGTAGCACACTGTCTAAAAGGTAGCATTTTGAAATGGTAGCTGATGTTCATAGCATTTATTTTTAAATCACAGTTTTTTGTTCTGTATTTAACTGTGTGTATACACTCTGTCGTGATAACTCAGAAATAGAGCACCAAAATAAGACAAGCTGTGAAAAAAATCTTAAATACTATACTCCTGGCCTGTTTACGTATTTGAATGTGAATACTTTTCTCTCCTTCAGAGAGGCATATGTGAAAATTTCAGCCACCTGATGTAATTTTAGACTTTCTGTCTCCCTTGCCACCTCCACATCCAGTCTTTTCACAGTCCTTTTCTTCTTAAATACCTCTCATTTGCCTCCTTCTCTCTCTGTTCACTTCCATTTTTGCTTCTCTTTTGTGAACCCATTAAAGTATATAATATTAGCCATTATTTAATCAGCTCGTTTTCATGACAAGTTCTGTTGTAGGCACTTTTTAATATATATTCTGCGATTGATGTGAGCTTTGGAGTCAGATATTCTGCATTCAGATTTCAACTTCACCATTTATAATTATGTGATCTTGGATTAAATCACTTAAATTCTTTAATGATCTTCTATTGCCCTGACAGAAAATTCTGACTTTATCATAGCTTTTACCAAGCTCTCCACAACCTAATCTTTACCAGCCACTCTAGTTCTCACTTTTTTGTCACTCTTCTCCTCTCTCCCTACACTGCAGTCATACTGGACTTCTTTTATCTCAGAACTCCATGGCTTGAAATGCCTTCTTCCCTTAAAAAGAACTGTCTTCATCATTTTGTTTAGTTAACTTCTACTTCTCATTCATTATTAGTCTCTTAATACTCCTGTAACAGAAATATCACATGAATGCCTTTAAGGAACGGAAATTTATTTTCTCACAATTTAGGCGGCTGGAAGTCCGAATTCAGGGCACAGGCTTTAAAGGAAGGCTCTCTCTGTGCTCTCAGCTTCTCTAGCATTCTTCTGGGCATTCCTTGGAGATCTTAGGGTGGCACGTATCTTTCCCCCTATCTTGTTTACTTCTCTCTGTGTCTAATCTGCTCTTTTATATCTCAAAAGTGATAAGATCTGAGACACAGCCTACACTAAATGGCTTAAATAACATAACAAAGAAAACCTTATTCTCAAATGGAATTCCATCCATAGGTGTGTTGTTGTGAGCCTTCCAGTCCATTCCAACTCGTATAGACCCTATAGGATAAAGTAGAACTTCCCCATAGGATTTCCAAGGCTGTAATCTTTACAGAAGCAGATTGCCACGTATTTCTCCTGTGAGCAGCTGCTGGATTCAAACTCCCAACCTTTCGGTTAGCAGCCAAGCACTTAACCAGTGAGCCACCAGGGTTCCTTCATCCACAGGTATAGGGGTTAGGATTCCAACACATACCTTTGGAGAACATAATTCAGTATGCCTTCATATCTCAGTTTCAACATGACTTCCTCAAGGAGGCTTTTCCTGACCACCTAAACTACATTAAACCCCCCTTTTGTATATTCTACAGTACCCACAATTTACAATTTTTTATGTCTTTCATACTTATATATTAAGTGCACTTTCCGCCTTCCCCATTAAATTATGAGGTCCAGTAGGTCAGCTATAGCCATAGGATCTACCAGAGAACAGTGGTCAATATTTGAAATTGAATTTATTGAAACATTAAATATGTAAAATTTACATTTTATGGAAAATGAGATTCTTATAGAATTAAACAGCTAGTAAATGATGGCATAGAACTCCGATCCAAATCTAATTTCAAAACCTGCACGTTACTACGCTTCTTCCTACCATGAACACTTTGAGGGTAGGTGTTGTGTTTTGGTCAACTCTGTATCCCTAGCACCTAACTTAGTACTCGGCACAAGTGTAAAGGAGAAATTAAATTATATAATGTCTCTACCTAGTATAGCTATTATTAAAATATTGGTATATTTTTTTCCAACCTTTGTGTGTGTGTATAAAATAGATGTGTATAAATAACATTTTACAAAATTTTCATCATATTAAAACAAACCCATTGCCGTTGAGTTGATTCTGACTCATGGCAGCCCCATATATTACAGAGTAAAGTGCTCCATAGGGTTTTCTTGGCTGTAATCTTAATGAAAGCAGATCACCAGGCCTTTCTTCTGTGGTACCACTGGGTGGGTTCAAACCACCAACTTTTAGGTTAGTAGTCAAGTGTAAACCATTTGTGCCACCTAGGGACCTTTAATCATATTACACATGGTTTTCTTTTTAAATTTACTGTGAACATTTTTCCACATTAGTCGGTATTCTCTGTAAACATGTTTTTTTAAATAGCTGCATCTTATAAAGTTATTTGGATGATATACTTGAATTTGTTTACTCTAATTTTGGACATTTTGATTGTTTCTAATTTTTCACTATTATAAATAACAGTGATGAACACCTTTGTATGTAAATCTCCTAATATTTCCTTTTGATAGATTACTAGAAGTGAGTTTACTCTGGGAGTGTATAAGCATTTTTAAGGCTCTTTTATTGAAGGATTGTTTTCCAAACTCCCAATAACCACTAGCAGTGCAAAGAGAGTTAGTTTCTTTAAACCTTCCCTAACTCTGATGTATCAGTAAGGTTTTGCCAGAGAAACAGAATCAATAGGATATATCTAAAGTAATTAAGGAATTGGCTCACGTAATTGTGGAGGATGGCAAGTATGAAATCAGTAGGGAAGGTAGGCAGGCTAGAAACTCATGGAAGAGTTGATGTTGCAGTCTTGAGTTTTAAATCTGGAGGGCAGATTGGCAGCCTACAAACTCAGCAGGATTTCAGTGTTACAGTCTTGATGCAGAATTTCTTCTCCAGATAACCTCAATTTTTGCTTTTTAGGCCTTCAACTGATTGAAGGTAATCTTTGTTTAACTGTTACACCTGGGTGTGCCTTTTAAAAGTGATGCCATACTTTTTATCACTTATAAAGAATTTTTGCCAAAACCTCTAGAGCTAATAGAGGAATTTAGCAAAATTGCAGGGTATAAGGTCAACAAACAAAAATCAGTTGGATTTCTATATACCAGTGTCTTAGTTATCTAGAGCTACTGTAACAGAAATACCACAAGTGGGTGGCTTTAACAAACAGATATTCTCTTACAGTTTAGGAGGCTAGAAGTCCAAATTCAGGGCACCAGCTCCAGGGGAAGGCTTTCTCTCTGTTGACTCTGGGGGAAGGTCCTTGTCATCAGTCTTCCCCTGGGTCTAGGAGTTTCTCAGCGCAGGAACCAAAGGATGCGCTCCACTCCTGGCTCTTCTTGCTTGGTGATAATGAGGTCCCTCTCATCTTTGCTCAATTCTCTCTTTTATATCTCAAAAGAGATTGACTCAGGCTACAACCTCATCCTGTAGATTGAATCCTGCCTCATTAACATCACAGAGGTTAAGATTTACAACACATTGGATAATCCCATTAGATCACAAAATGGTGGACAACCACACAATACTGGGAATCATGGTCTAGCCAAGTTGATGCACATTTTAGGGGGACACAATTCAATCCATAACAACCAGCAATGAGAAATCTGAGAGGGACATTAGGGAAACAATTTCATTTACAATAGCATCTAAGAGAATAAAATACCTACGAATAAATTTAACCAGAGATGTGAAGGACTTATACAATGTAAATTATAAAACATTGCTGACAGAGATTAAAGAAGACTTAAATAAATGGAAAGATGTTCCATGTTCATAGATTGGAGGGCTTAATGTTGTTAAGATGTTAGTACTACCCAAAGCGATCTATAGATTCAATGCAATCCCAATCAAAATTCCAACAGTCTTCTTTGCAGAAATGGAAAAACCAGTCCTCAACTTTATATGGAATGGCAAGAGGCTTCAAATAGCTAAAGCAATGTTGAAAGAGAAGAACAAAGTAGGAAGACTCACACTTCCTGATTTTTAAAACATATTATATGGCTATAGTAATCAAAACAAACTGGTACTGGTATAACAATAGATACATAGACCAAATGAATAGAATTGGGAGTACAAAAATAAACCCACACATCTATGTACAACTGATTTTTGAGAAGTATGCTAAGTGCATTTGGTGGAGAAAGAAGAATCTTTCCAACAAGTGGTGCTGGGAAAATTGGATTTCCACATGCAGAAAAATGAAACAGGATCCATGCCTCATGTCATACACAAAAACAAATTCAAAATGGATTAAGGACCTAAATGTGAAAACTAAAACCATAAAATTCTTAGAAGATGATGAAGGGACAATGCTGTTGAATTATCTAATATAATAAAAGCACAAACAACAAAAGACAAAATAAAAAAATGGGACCTTGTAAAAATTAAAAGCTTTTGTTCATCAAAAGACTTTACAAAAAAAGTGAAAAGACAAGCTACTGACGGAGAATATCTTTAGAAACTATATATCTGATAAGAATCTAATAACAGAAAGACAAATAACCCAGTCATAAAGTGGGCAAAGGACTTGTTAGACATTTCACGAAAGAGGACATTCAGATGGCCACCAGACACATGAAAAGATGCTCAACATCATTAGCCATCGGAGACAGAGACGCAAATAAAAACCACAATGAGATAACATTTCACACCCACTAGCATGGAGCCCAGGTGGTGCAGTGGTTAAGCGTTTGGCTGCTAACCAAAAGGTCGCCAGTTTAAATCCACCAGCAGCTCCTTGGAAACCCTGTGGGGCAGCTCTGCTCTGTCCTGTAGGGTTCCTATGAGTCGGAATTGACTCGACAGCAATGGGTTTGGTTTTGGTTAGGATGGCTAAGATTAAAAAAAAAAAAAAAACAGAGAACAACAAATGTTGATGAGGATATGGGGGAATTGGAACTCTTACCCATTGATGGTGAAGATGTAAAATGGTATAGCAGCTGGAAAACAATGTGGCAGTTCCTCAGAAAACTGAAAGTAGAACTACCATACCAACTTGGAAAAGGAGGGTGAGAATGGTTGTACACCTCAAATAATGAAATCAGTTTCAATGAATTGTACATGTGGAAATTGTTGATTTGGTGTGTGTTCTGCTGTGTATATTCTCAACAACAGAAATAAATTATTCTTCAAAAATTTTTTTGCCAAATCTTGGTAGAAAAATCTTACCTCATTATTTTAATTTCTTTGATTACCTGGTTTTTCTGGGGTGTCTTGCCACTCCAAAATTGATATCTCTCATTTCACTAATCAGAGATTTCTTTGTCATGAAGTTCTATCCATAACTGCTCTAGCTTCATAAATTACATATCACTAGCATAAATGTTTTTCAAATCTATGGGTAAAATTGAGGTGTGTTTACATTTACTGTTAAGATATAAAACTGAAAATGATTCAGAATCATTAAGACATCTTTCTGTTTCAGCTTGGTGTGTGCAGTGAGTTATGCAACTCAGAGTGGAGAAAAAATGTATTTTAGAAAATTCTTCAAATTTCAGGTATTGAATATGACAATGGTCAATTGTTTTTTGATTTTATTTTTCCTGGAGGTATACAGTTACTACATTTATTTTCAGTGAAAACAAGCTTCAGATAAAGCAGATAGCTCAATATTTTTGGATTTGTCTTATTACTTCTTGTTATTATGTGCCGTCAAGTCAGTTTTGACTCATAGCAACACTATAGGACAGAGTAGATCTGCGCCATAGCGTTTACAAGGCTGTAATCTTTACAGGAGAAGATCACCAGTTCTTTTCTTCTGCTAGTGGGTTCAAATCACTGAACTTTAGGTTAGTAGCCAAGGGCTTTAACCAACGCGCCACCAGGGCTCCTTATTATATTACTAGCAATCTAAAATCAAGCTAAGATATGTTAAATAAAAGCAAAGCAAAATAACACTGCCAATGTAATGTTTTTGTAATGAAATTTGAAGATTTTTATCCAAGAGAATAATAGTTTGTTTTCATGAGTTGACAAAACACATAAGAATATAGAAAGAGGATAAAACGAGTGGAAATAGTAATAAATTTCTAAAGAAGTATTTAAAAGAGAGATTTTAACTTGGGGTGAGTGGACCAAGCTTGCTTCAGGGTCTACATGAATCACTGAATTTGTAGGTAGAATTTTGTGCTTAAATACGCAATTTTCTAAGACGATGATCCCAAAATGGTTAAAAACCACCTGTTTAACTTTGTGTGTGTGTAGCGTTGGGTGGGTGGACGGTGGGATGAATGCAATATATATCTACAGATATATCTAGATTTGACGTTATGTATATTTTTCTGTTTAAGTAGAAGAAAAAGTATCAGTAGAAGCATTGCCATTGCTTTGCTTCAGCACTCAGTTGTTAAAGATTTTGAATGACTTTTAAAATAAAATAAAAGGTTCAGTTACTTTTTTATTGTACTTTAGATGAAGGTTTACAGAACAAACTAGCTTCTCATGAAACAGTTAGTACATATTGTTTTATAACATTGGTTACCAACCCCACGACATGTCAACACTCTCCCTTCTCGACTTTGGGTTCCCTATTACCAGCTTTCCTGTCCCCTCCTGCCTTCTAGTCCTTGCTGCTGGGCTGGTGTGCCCCTTTAGTCTCATTTTGTTTTATGGGCCTGTCTAATCTTTGGCTGAAGGGTGAACCTCAGGAGTGACTTCATTACTGAGCTAAAAGGGTATCTGGGGGCCATAATCTCAGCGTTCCTCCAGTCTCTGTCAGACTAGTAAATCTAGTCTTTTTTTGTGAGTTAGAATTTGGTTCTACGTTTTTATCCACCTCTGTCCAGGACCCTCTATGGTGATCCCTGTCAGAGCAGTCAGTGGTGGTAGCCAGGCACTCAGTACTGGCACACAGTCTGGTGAAGGCTGTGGTAGTTGTGGTCCATTAGTCCTTTTGACTAATCTTTCCCTTGTATCTTTAGTTTTCTTCATTCTCCCTTGCTCCCGAAGGGGTGAGACCAGTGGCGTATCTTAGATGACCACTCACAGGCTTTTAAGACCCCAGATGCTACTCACCAAAGTAGAATGTAGAACATATTCTCTATAAACTATATTATGCAAATTGAGCTAAAATGTTGCCAGAGACCATGGTCCCCACAGCCCTCAGCCCAGTAATTTAGTCCCTCAGGGAGTTTGGATGAGTCTATAGAGCTTCCATGACCTTGCCTTGTACATGTTGTGGTGGCATCCCCGGTATTGTGTACTGTCTTACCATTCACCGAAGTTACCACATATTTATTGTCTCTAGTGTTTTTCCATCCCCATCCCTCCCTCCCTCTCTCGTAACCATCAAAGATTGTTTCGTTTTGTGTGTAAACTTTTTCATGAGTCCAGTTGCTTTTTTTGTAAACATTTTTACAGTGAAATGTAACATAGATATAGAAAATAAATGTGTTCAGTTTAACAAAATATTATAAATGGAACACCCATGTAACCATCATTCTGTCAAGAAATAATAGTAGTCTTTCAAAAAATGCATTCAAGTTTTTTTTGTTTTTTTTTTGTTTTTTTGCAGGTGTGTTGCATACCCATTAGAAAAGTCTTTGACAAAATTGGGAAATGACTTTGATAAATTTAAGCCCTGTGATTTAAAACAAATGGTCAAATGTTAAGAGTCTCCTCTGATTGATATGCTTTATTCAACCAGGTTCTCAAACCACTGGATGTGAAAACCAAATTTTACAATGCAGAGGTAAGTGTTGGGCACCTAATGGGATTTTAAAGTAAACATTAAAATCTTCTTTTACTAAAAATCTGATTTATTACATTTCTCATCATAATGAAGTAAATTGCTATAAGACTGTGCATTACTTGTGAAAAAATGAGCATAAAATTCACTCAAAAGTGAATAATTTCAGTTGTAGATCTCTTTTAATCTGCTGTTTTCAACCTTCTTGAAATCAGTGGTTCTTGATTTTTATTTTCATTGTTAATTATGTGAGGCTCTTCCCTCTCTTTCATTAAGTGGTTGCTCTGTAATTGCATTTAATGGTTGTTGTTAGTGTTTAAAAACAGTAACAATCTGTTGAATATTTATCATGTTCTGGGTATTACAAAAAATGAAGTAGATCTAACCCTGGAAAATAGATTTAGTATTCATAGGTAAAAATGTTGACAAGTAAAGTTCAGCACATTAAATTCTTTATCCTAGGAAGTCAACGTGCCAGCCAGAGTTAGGCTGCTGAGTTTGGTGAACGGCTTGAAAAGCTCCTTGGGAGAAACAAGTTTAGGAAAAATAGAGAAGTAACTTTTAGAATAAAAGATAATATACCTTCTGTCCTAACAAAAGACATAAAACAGAATTTGGCATAGGAGAAGGATTTTATTGACTGGATTTCTTTTAGAATATTCTATTTTATCTTGGCTTTGAGCTCTAGAAAAATCAAATCACTTGACGCTCCCTTTCCTCCCCCTAAAAATCATGTATTTCTTAGCACAGTGGTAAATTCAAAGATATCCAAATACAGTGTTTTGAAATGAAGCAGAAATTTGCAATTTGATACATATTTTTATCATCAGCATCTGAGGTTTTACTTAGTATAAGGTTTATATAAAACTAGAAATAAATACTGAGATGTTTTAGATGAGGAACCTGCTTGCCGTGAAGGCCTATTAGGAAAAAAGAAAAAAATATACATAAAATAACAAAACTACCTGGACTGGTATATAGTAAATCTGGAAAGATGATATAAACAGTTATGCTATAGGAACTCTTAGCATAAGATCTTGGAGTAGTCTTAAGCTTCATAAAGGTGGAGGGGAACTGTAGCAGAGTTTGGAAGGAGTGGATATTGGAAATAGAAAAGTGTCAGAACAGTGAAGTCATCCAAGAAGGGTTATTAATGCTCGTGGAATACTGACTACATAGCAAAGAGCATACATATTTGATGGGAGGTACAGCCTCATTATGGAGAGCAGTAAATGTTTAGAGTTGACATTTCTTTTTGGGGAGTAGAGGAGTTTTGGAATACTACATATTTGTTCCACATATTTTTTTACTAATAGTGTACTGTCAAATAATTATAGTATAGCCATTCAACTTTATCGTTATGCTGGAAAAGATTTCATCCATAGTATGAGGGAAGAATGTTAACTATTTTGTTAAGATGGATAGGTTAGCAAATAAAAACGTAAGGATGTAGGTAGGTTCTTTTTCTATAATGGACTCCTAAAATATTCAAGTACTTTAGGTTTTCTTTGTTGAAAGTGTGGTGATTCATTAGATACTTGTCAGGTAGCTTTGTAACACCAGTATTCAGAGTGATTTGCCAGTTAATTTTTAAATTTCTAGTTATTTCATAAACATAGCAGTGAAATGCCCCCAAAAAGAAAGGCAAAAAAAAAATCTGTAATTTCACCATACCAACAAGTAATTGATCTTCGTTAACCCACATTCTCTTTCAGTCTTCAGCCATTTACATATAATGTTCTGTTTTTATAATCATAGTAACAAGTTAGTTTGCTGCCTTTTCAGCTAACGTTATATGTAGGTGTAATCTTTAACCTAAACTTTGCAAAAAACTTCAATTAAAATTTTGTTAGTACAATTCTGAACTTCTGAAAACAGACATCTCTTTAAAAACCAGGAGCAAACAAATGGCATTTAGGATCTCTCTGAGATATTCAGTATTACCTGTTACTGTTTAGTCACTCTTCTGCCAGTAGCGCAAGGTAGAGTCTATTGACCACAACTAGTAATTTCTTGTAGATTTTAGGAGTCAGTAAACCAGCATTAGTAGGTGATGCATATTGCTCTGTGCTGTTGGCCCCACATTTGTCTCAAACATGTTTTTGATGCTGTTTCTAATAAAAAGTGAATCACCTATAGGAAAAGAAATTTCCTGAGAAACTTTGTTGTAGTCTTCTAAGATAAGAAAGCCTGCAAGAAGATTGGTGACATTAGAAGGTAGGATTCAAACACTTGGTCACCTGCCAAGTACCCAGTCTCATGCCAGGTACGAAAGAGAAATAAATATAAACTGGACATCTTCCTAATCTTCAAGGAACTTACATCTAGTGGAGGACACTGACATGACATAACTACAATATAAGGCAAAAAAAAAAAAAATAAGTGATGAAGTGCAAGCATTATACTCTGGGAACAGAAAGGTGAAAAACTGTTTCTGGTTATGCGTTTGACAGAGGAGGTGATATTCAAGATAGCCCTTGAAAAATAAGTAGTTTTAGAAATATGTGTGAATAAAAAGACTATGAAATCTGTTAATAAGAGAATAAACTCTCAGCTGTCTGAAGTGGTCTAGCCAGCATTCCCCAAAGTATGATCCCATGGAACTCTGTTCACCCAAGGTGCTCCTTAATAAAAGGATTCTGTTATTAGACAAGTTTAGGAGAAGCTAAGCAGTTAAGTGCTTGACTGCCATCCAAAAGATTGGTGGTTTCAACCAACCCAGATGCACCAGGGAAGATAGACCTGGCTGTCTGCTTCTGAAAGGTCACAGCCTTGCAAACCCTTTGGAGCAGTTCTACTCTGTTCACACAGGGCGCCATGAGTCGGAATTGACTCAGTGGCAACTAACAATAATATGGTGTACATCTGTTCTGACTGTGGTGAATAGTATATATCCATCCTAAATGATCTATGAAGAATTACAATGTAGGTATAAAATTTATAGAACTAGAAAAGCATGGAATATACCTCTGTCCTCTAAGATGTTTCCTTAAGTATTTGCTCTTGTTTAAGTATTCAGCTATAGTATTCTTCTCTATTCCATTGTCATTTAACCTCAGCAGTTTCACCTTTTTAGAGAAATGGTTTGTCATATTTCTTTATGTTGCTTTCTGTTTACTTTCTTGTTCACTAATGCTGTCTTGTTTAGTAAATATTAAAAAAAATGCAGAAATGCATTTTATTTTAAAGTTAGTTATTCTTTTTCTTTAACATTTAACTCTGATTTTTCTAATTTTTCTTTTTTATTTTTCCATTAGAGTGACCTCAGTTCTGTGGTAATTTGATTTTTTATTATAAATTTATATGCTTTTCTTACTCACCATTTACTGACTCTGCCTAATTAATCTCTCTTTACAAAACATAGTGGAAAAACAAAGTTAGTTATGAATACCATTTATATGGTTTCAGAAAGCTCTGTATAATTTTTATATAGTTTTTATATTGATTATCTTATTCTTTGGGGAAAAATAGATCAAAGGTTAAATTGTCATACTGAAACAATTCCCATTTTTAGTGTTTCTCATTTAGCTGTTTTTTTAAAAGAGGCCTAGTAACCCTGTTGAAAATACCCTTCGGATTTTCAACACTTTGCTATAAAATAATCTGCTATTCTTCAATTTATTGAATACGCTATATAGTTGGAATCTGTCTTTAAATACATAGTGATTTTATTTTAATATCAATTGCCTTAGCACTGAATTCTTAATTTTTTCAAATGTCAAATTACTTTATACTAACTATTCAGACTAACTTGGTTTTCCATTATGTTGCTTGTTTTTCTTCCATTTTATCTAAACTCTTCCTCAATTTATGCAGACAGTTGCATTTTTTAAATTGAAATGCGGGTCTATGGTTTTGGTTTTTTGTTTAAAGCAATGGATTGACGGGATATATTTACTTACTTTTTTGAGAAAAGGGAATAGAATAATGCCCTTAATTGTACCTATCTTTTAAACTGATCAATGATTGTGTTACTATTTTCATTTGAGCACGTGTCAGGGACTAAAAAATTTGTTTTATTTTAGATAATAATACATTATAGTGTAACTTCATCATTATATTTTTAAAAATGATTTAGCTTATCCTGACTTTAGTATTACAAAAGCTCATAAGTGTCAAAATATTTGGTCACAGTTTTTGTGTGTGTTTTTTTCCTTAATGTTTTATTTCTGTATATTTATTATTATGGAACTTTTGAATAAAATAATTCTTGAATACATAGTATATCATTTGTATAGGTTTGTTTCAAAGATGAACCAGTTTAGTCTGTTGTCCTCCAATTACGTAAAGAAAAATGGTAATCAAATAGCATAAAAACAAGGCTATGTGGCATAAATAATCAGGGAATAAAAATTACATATGAAATTAGATACTTAAAATACTAAAATGCTGCTGAATAGCATCCATGTTCAGATCTGTCACTAAGGCTACAAATTAACTTTTTGCTTGATTTAAAAAACTCTTAAGATTGTCAGGTATAGTTCACATATTCCTTTTCTAACCCCAAATATATATTTAACATGAACCAAGAAATCATTAATGACTACTCACAATTGTTTTAATTAAAAAATTAATTCCTATAAAATAGAGTATTTCACCATACTAGTGATCATTGTGCTCTCTAAAATAAAGACCTAATTATATTATAAAATGCCACAAAATTATTGGTGCACAGGTATATTCATATAAAGCACATTTTAGCATTTTAATGACTTACTAAAAGATTTAGGTTATTTGTAAATGAAATTTCTGTTAAAGAAATATTTTTCAAATGTTAATATAAAATATATTACAGTTATCCCCCATCCATTGTTTGGCAAGGTATCAGTTGACTAACACTTGACTTTGCTCCTATTAATTATGTTGGGATGAAGATTTCTTTTCTTGCATTAATTATGATAACTTTGATTTGCAGGCATGAACTAATTACATTTGTGGTTAATATTTTTTCTTCATATAGATCAGATATTGTTGTTGAGGTATATATTTTAAATACCATCACACTTTGATGGATATTTTTTTCATATCCTCAGACTGATGAAGTATTTCTCGAAGCCCAGATTCAGAATATTACAAACTCACCTATGTTTATGGAGAAGGTTTCACTGGAGCCATCTATAATGTACAATGTAGCAGAATTAAATTCTGTCAACCAAGCTGGAGAATGGTAAATATGAATTATGAAGTGTTTGTTTTAGTGTTTGAAAGATAAATGCTTTTCTAACATCAGTTACTCTTGGGTGGTTTTTGTTTATTTCAATAATATTATCATCAGGGCTTCAATTGTCCACATAAAAATTTAAGAATCCTAGCCCTTTGCCTTTTATGTTTTATTATTCGAAGCACTTGATCTTTTAATTCTCACAGTAATTCTTTAAGGTGAATATGGAAACTGTCATCCCTATCTTGCAAATGATGAAACTGAGGTATGGAAAGAAATAGTGAAAAAGAAGTTAAGAAAAGGGTGATGGTGAGCCTTAAGAAGAAACACTGTCCCAACACCAAAAGTAGTGGGCATAGGAATAGACGATTTAATTTTTTGTGTGAAAAGGAAGTGCATGTGTCTTTCTATAGGTAATATAAAAGAGGGAGAATAAATAGATGTATGGTTGATATTAATATGGATAAGAAAGTAATAGCTGGGAAAACTAGTACCTGATTTTCTTAGTGAAGAATGAAGTTATCTTTTTTCATGGTAGTTAGATACAGAAAAGTTTATAGACTCCCAACCCCTTACTGCGGAAAACATTTATTTTCCTTTTCTTCCCCTAATCTGAGACCTCTCCTCTCTTGTAGTTCATTTTAAAAATGATTACTTAATTTTAGAATGGTATGTTTCTTCTCATTCTGAACTATTTTCATTGACAATTTTAGAGAAAAGGGACATGGTACTTAATGTCCTGATTTCTATTGCGTTTTTCTTTTTAGGTAATATATTTTGGTAATATATTTCACTCTATTACAAAGAACCTCAAGATTTTCCATGTCAGTCAACTGAAAAAAACAAAAATATAATCCTATCAATACAAATCTTTGTTGAAACCACTGACCTGTTCTATTCTAGATCTTTGGATAGTAAATCGTCCAATTCTTGTCCAAAAGGAACAATCACAGCCATGGTTTTTCTTTTAAAAGATGCAAGAGATTTTTTTCTGTCTCTGTCTATCTCCATCCCTCTCAGTATATCTACGTTTGGTTCAAGAGCATATTTGCAGCCAATGGATACACGCCAATACTTATACTGCCTTAAGCCCAAGAAGGAGTTTGCAGAAAAAGCAGGCATCATTAAGGGAGTAACAGTAATCGGAAAATTGGATATAGTGTGGAAAACAAATCTAGGTGAAAGGGGAAGGTTACAGACCAGCCAACTTCAGAGAATGGTGAGTCTGGAAAAGAACTTTGGTGAGGGTTTAGGGGTATGTGGGGATGGTTAGAACAACTTCAGTTTTTCTAGGTCTATCACTAAGAATCAAAACACCATAGAAGGTATTAATATTACTAAAGAATGAGATAAAAGACTAATAATTTCACTGATCTCTAGATAGAAAACTAGCATTGAGATAAATAAAAAATGCTCAAGTATTAATTTATCCTTAATATGTTTTTACTTTACAAAACAGAAGTTAAAATTACTCCTTACAGTTGTTAACCTGCCTATATTAATTCATGCTCACTATTTATCTGACTTCCGCTACATTAAATTTTTCTTTTTTGCAATGTCCTAAAACTCTTGGGCTTACTACATTTACCTACTCAGTCCATACCTTTTTTAAGATACTTAAAAATAGGAGGAATCTGAAACTAACAATGAAGGTGAGTCCCACTGAAGTTATCTTGTAATCACTGGTTGGATATTTTACTTAATTTCTGTTCTAAGAATAGTGATGGCTACTAGTTTTTTTTTTCTTTGTGCTAGTGAGAATATGCCACAGGGTCCTCCCTTTGTGTTGAATATTCCCTGTTCTGATAGATTTTAAAGTTTCCTTTCACTGTTTAAGGCAGTAATTACAAAAGGAAAGATTTTCATCCATTACTTGGAGATTTGTCAATAATTTCTTTAAAAAAAGACAATCACTGTATCTGTTTAAAATACAGCAGTTAGCTATCATCCTGACATGCTGTGTTTCAAGCCTTGATGTTTCTATGGTCCCTGCTGACATGTCTTGTGAAAAGACCTGTTTTTCTTCCTGGCCCGTTTCGAAGTGATCTCTTTCTCTTTAGATTGTACTGTATTTTTATGTAAATAACATGCACCTTCTATGTTTGTTTGCCAACCACACCCTCCCCCCCCACGAGTTATTTTCATAAGCACTGCTGTGCCAAGTTTTTTTTCACAGGTTACTGTAAAAAAAAATTAGCGAAGTACACTTATGAAAATACCTCACAGGGGTGGGGCATGGTTGGCAAATGTAGAAGGTGTATGTTATTTGTGTAAAAATGCGGTGACCTTGTCTGTTTAGAATTGTGTATATAGAAGCTACAGTATCTACGGAAAGCATCACTTTAAGATCCGACTGCCTGAAATTCTTTATTGACTGCTTACCTATGAGATTCATCTTAACTCTACTGAACTTGGAGTAATTATAGCAAAAACAAATTGTTAGGACTTGAAGTGCTATTCTTTAGGTAGTAGCAGCACAAGAGGTTAGAATCGGGGAACAGTGGAATGAATGACAGGTGTTTTGTCAGAACATCAGCTTGGAGACCTAACAATTGTTGAGTGAATGTGCTGGTTTGGTGCCTTTATTGAAATTGAAGGGTTTTATAATAGATACATATTAACTGTATTGCTTTCTCTCTTAGGCTCCAGGTTATGGAGATGTTAGGTTGTCTTTGGAGGCAGTTCCAGACACTGTAAACCTAGAAGAACCTTTTCATATAACCTGTAAAATAACAAACTGCAGGTAATGGCAGTGTTTGTGGATGGATGTCTTTTCCTCTTCACCCACCTAAAAGAGAGTTTTTAAATCTTTTAAATATGCTGTCTCCTTTTAAATTTCCTCTTGGCTTATATAGCCTTCTGTGATGTTGATGTTGAATAATATAACATTCTTCATCTGGTAGCAGTATATTAGGTAGGTCCTACTCTGTTAGGCACTGTCTGTATTTTATTTCATTCATACATCACATTCACATTTTATGCATTGGGAAGCCAACTCAGGTTAAGTGACTTATTCAAGCTTATAGAGCTGGTAAAGATGGGGTCAGAATTTGAACCCAGATGTATTTGACTTCAAAGTCCGTGTTCTTTTTGTTGTTTACACTGCCTTCATAATTGAGATTACCAAAGCATAAGCTAGTAGGTTTGTATGGGAAACTGCATTATAGATTTAGAATAATAAGATGGATTTTTCTGACACATGCTTGTACCTGAGTTGTATCTTTAGTATTAAGAAACTAAAAACTAGTTATGAATTTAAATATGAAGGATAATAAACCCAAAAAACAAACCCGTTTCCAGCAAGTCGATTCTGACTCATAGCAACCCTGTAGAACAGAATAGAACTGCCCCATAGGGTTTCCAAGGCTGTAAATATTTACAGAAGCCAACTGCCACATCTTTCTCCTGTGGAGCTGCTGCTGGTTTCAAACCGCCAACCTTTTGGTTAGCAGCCAACTGCTTAACCACTGCACCACCATGAGGGATAATAATAGATTGGAAAACAGGGCTTTGCTAACAAAGAGCATAATCTAGCCATTAGGTGAAGAGCATAGGGCTTTGAAGCTAGAAAATCCTAGGATTAAGTCACACTTTTACTACTACTTGTATTACTACTTGGTTTTTGATTATTAGTTGAGGCATTTGATAATATTGCAGTGATGAATCCCATCCTTAATAGTCTGAATGTGTGTAATCCTTTTTAATCTCATATCCATTCCAACTTTTGGTATTAGGGAGATAAGAAATAGTCATCCTTCAAAATTCCTACTTCCTCTATGAAGCTACATTACATAGTCCCTCCAAAGCACAGTTAATCATTTCTTTCTTTGTCATAGAAAATTTTAACATAGCTTTTTAGTGACACTTATGTATTGCTATAATTATTAGTCTTTTCTTCACTAGATTGTGAATTATTCATCAGAAGGGATCATGTTTTACCTAGCTTTGTATATGCAGGGACTATCACATCATAGTAGCTCAGTAAACAATACACGCATGGTAAAGACCCTGTGCATAGAGGGCTTGTTTTGGGGTTGTTTTGTTTGTCTTTTTTGCGGCATAAAAAATCAGTTATTCACCAACTGACAAAGTGCTATAAAAAATAAAGAAATTTAGTTATTTTCAGTGTTCACTTTAACTTTTGGTGATTCAGATAAGGTTTTCTAAAAAGCACTTGTTTTCTTGGATCTTCAGTTTCCCATTGGTACTACCCCTCCCCTCTCCCCCAACCCCCACACACACAACACGCATATACTCTTACTGGATTTTTGTGAAATTTAATGAGAAAACTCAAGTAGTGCATCTAACCTGGTCTGTGGCATATAGTGTGCATTTCAGATGTCTACTGGGGACATAGAGACATATAAAAGCTAAATATCATAAAGTCAATAAGTCTAAAAATCAATAAAGTAAATATTAAAACTAAAATGAGTATTTTAAAATATAGAGCCAACTATGAGAAAACAAAGAGCTAAAAAAAGTTGAAAGTAGTTCATGAATGGCAGTAGACTAAGAGTGTTATTTTTCATTATGAGCGTCTAGATTTTTTTTTTTTTAATGTACATAACTTCCATTAAAATTTGTTTAACTTAAACAATAAATGTTTAAGCTGAATTGGTAGTATCAATTATAAGCAGAAGCAGTCTTTTCATGTTAAGTAATACAGTAAACAAAACTGAAAGTATTCTTATGAATCCTGTCAGTCATTTTCTAAGTTATCTGCATATCTGTAATACTACTAAAGGAACATAGATTAAATATCAAAAACCCTGGGCCAGACTCAGTTTGTCAGTTCCTTTCCTATAGAGTACCTAACAGAAATAGGAAGGATATATAGCAGCAAGATTAGACACAAATGTCTGGAAGCCTCCCAGAGAAATAGCAGAGCTGCTAAGAGGTTCAGTACTAGAGAACCAGAAGGCCAACATCAAGGCAGGCCGATTAGTCTGAGCGCCATTTTAAGCCCGAGAAGGTGACATTTCCTTTCATGTTACTGATTCTTTCTTAAAGTGAAATAGAAATGATATAATAGCTTTTCAGCTCTGTTTCTGGTTCTTATTCTCCTGGAAACCCAGAAAACAAGTTCACTTAGCAATAGTGGAAGAAATATTACAGTACATCTTTGTGCAAGGAACAAGATTTATTCCTTTTTTTCTGATTCCTCTAGCAGTGAAAGGACTATGGATCTGGTTTTAGAAATGTGCAATACCAATTCTATCCACTGGTGTGGCATTTCAGGAAGACAGCTTGGAAAGCTACATCCAAGTTCCTCTCTCTGCCTTGCCCTTACTCTACTGTCTTCAGTACAGGGACTGCAAGTAAGCCTTCTTTTAATAATTTCAATATTTGGAGGCCATGAACCCATAATCATTTATTATATATATATGTGTATATGTGTGTTGTGTGTGTATATATATCTTAGACTTTTATCTTTCTCTCAATAGAGCGTCTCCGGCTTAAGACTAACAGACACATTCTTAAAGAGAACATATGAATATGATGACATCGCACAAGTCTGTGTGGTATCTTCGGCCATCAAAATGGAAAACTGAAGAAAATTTCTCATGTTATGCTTTTCATTTAGTTTCACAGAACTGCTTTCTGTATTTTTGTCAGCTTTGTAAAATCATCAGTTTAACAACAAAAATGAGTATGTATTATTTAAATTTCTTTCCTGTATAACTGGAGTTGTTTAAAATATTAAATATTTGTTTTGAAAAGAACCATCTGATTTTATCTTGAGTTATAAGTGAACAATTGTACATTTTCTACACGATATTTCATTTTCAGTGATCATTGGACTTTGTTATCCAAATGTACTGTTTGAGAACATCTGTTCCTAGCAAGCCTCTAGAACAGGGGTCAGCAAGCTTTTGTCTGTCAAGGGGCAGATAGCAAATATTTTAGATTTTGTAGGCAATGTAGTTTCTGTCACAGCTACTCAGCTCTGCCATTATACTGTGAAAGCAGGTATGGACAATTGTAAAAAAGAGTGCGGCTATATTTACAGAAGAGGTAGCAGGATGGATTAGGCCATAGTTTGTTGACTCTGATCTAGAAGATTTTTATTTCTTACAAGTTTGGAATTCTCTTAATATTTTATCAGAAATAGTTCAGTTACCATATTTCTACGCAGATAATGCATGCCTTTTACATTTGTCTGCTGACTGCACCCTCCCTCCTTGAGGTATTTTTGTAAGCATGCTATTCTGGTTTTTTACAGCAACATGTTTAAAAAAAAAGGGGGGGGGGCATTGCAGCCCTTACGAAAATACCTCATGGGGGAGGACACAGTTGGCAAACAAACATAGAAGGCATGTGTTATTTGCATAAAAATACAGTAGCCGATGTTTTCCTACCTCCTCGGTCACAGAAAAGGTATTTGTTTACAACAATTGGGGTAGTCCTTGTATAACCTGTTATTTGATAACACAGTATGAGCTTTTCTAATTATTTTCAAAATTACTGTATTGGGGCTGTGGTATGGATGTATGTTTTACTTTCAGTTACTGAACAGCAGCTCAGAATTAGTTTTATTCGTTAGCTGGTTGATTACTCAGTTAACTTTTAGTTAAGCAGCCAAATAATTTTCTAATTCTGAGCCAGAAAGTCCTGGTTTTCCATTGAAAAATAAGCTGATTTTTTTCATAAGGCTTATTTAAAAGATTTCCAGCTTCTGATACTTGATCTTGAACTCTAAATCAAGTATTAATATTATAATAAAACTTTCTAGCTCTGCATGTAATCAAACTTGTTTACTTATGTCATGAACAAAACAGTTAAGGTTGTAAACAACTCTGCAACTTGAATGTAATAAAAAGTTTGAATGTTTTGTCTAGAAAATGAAAGCTCTGCTGTTAAATAAAAGCTGTCCTATTTCAGTAAACTGTAATTCAAGAGTATATATAGAATTTCTTAAGTGTAAGAGTGCATTAAAGTCAAATACAAAAATTAGTTTTTCTTAAATGCATAAATATTTATTGCCATGACAAATTGTTTGGTGCAAAATGAAAGCTATGGTCAGAATAAGGTTTGCTTCCTGAATTACAGTAATTAATGAAATGCCTGTGCAAAATAATGTGCAAGTAGTGTAAAATTAAAGTATCTTTCTTCTGAAATGATTAAATTAAATGATTAAACAAGATTTTGTAGCCACTGCACTGGGCACTTCGATTGTTTTTTAAGCATCTTCTCATGACTGAAACTTCTGTTTCAAATTTTAAAAGTTAGCATATAATGGTCACATGGAATCTGCTATACAGTTTAATTATAAAGTCTCTTCTGTTTATAAACAATAAACCAAACACATATTGTTCATACTTTAAGCAGAGGTTAGATAATGCCACCTTGGAAAGAATCTGTTTAAACCATATTATAAAAAGTAGATAAGAAATGATTTGGTACATTAAATGCAAATGTCATTTGCTTAACAAGGACACGTTAAGTTTTACATAGCATCATGACAGCTACAGCTACCACAATTAAATGTGGTTAATGGAAGTCGAGCATTCCTAAGTAGAATGTATACAGAGATTTACATAATGCCCTCTTGTTTCTGTAGTTAGACTGGGACTAGTTAGATTGGAGATAGAAAACCAAAAGGGAAGAACATGCTCGGCATTTCTCAAGCTGAAAGAACTGAAGAAGAGTTTCTAGCACTGAGTTGCAACAGTGAAGAATTCTATGGGGAAAATATTAAACAATGCAGGAAGCATCAAAAGAAGATGGAAGAAATATACAGAGTCATTATACCAAAAAGAATTGGTCAACATTCAACCATTTCAAGAGGTAGCAAATGATCAGGAACCCATGGTACTGAAGGAAGAAGTCCAAGCTGCACTAAAAGCATTGGTGAAAAACGAGGCTCCAGGAATTGACAGAGTATCAATTGAGATGTTTCAACAAATGGATACAGTGCTGGAAGTGCTCACTTGCCTATGCCAAGAAATTTGGAAGACAGCTACCTGGTCAACTGACTGGAAGAGATCCATATTTATGCCTATTCCCGAGAAAGGTGATCCAACCGAATGTGGAAATTATCAAACAATATCATTAATATCACACACAAGTAAAATTTTGCTGAAGATCATTCAAAACCAGCTGCAGCAGTATATCAACAGGGAACTGCCAGAAATTCAAGCCGGATTCAGAAGAGGACATGGAACGAGGGATATCATTGCTAATGTCAGATGGATCCTGGCTGAAATCAGAGAATACCAGAAGTTTACCAGCGTTTTATTAAATATGCAAAGGCATTCGACTGTGTGGATCATAACAAATTATGGATAACATTGTGAAGAATGGGAATTGCAGAACACTTAATTGTGCTCATGAGGAACCTGTACATAGATCAAGAGGCAGTTGTTCAGACAGAACAAGGGGATACTGCATGGTTTAAAGTCAGGAAAAGTGTGTGTCATGGTTGCATCCTTTCACCATACCTATTCAATCTGTATGCTGACCAAATATTCAAAGAAGCTGGACTGTACGAAGAAGAACAGGGCATCAGGAGTGGAGGAAGATTAATTAACAACCTGAGATGACTCAGCCTTGCTTGCTGAAAGTGAAGAGGACTTAAAGTACCTAAACTGATGAAGATCAGAGACCACAGCCTTCAGTATGGATTACATCTCAACATAAAGAAAACAAAAATCCTCACAACTGGACCAATAAGCAACATCATGATAAA